GGGGGCTTTAGAACAAAGAATGTCAGAGAAATAAGGGCCTTAAAACAGAGAAGGTCAGAGCTGGGAGGGGCCTTAGAACTAAGAATGTTAGAGCTTTAAGGGACCTCAGAACAATGTTAGAAAGTTAAAAGTGCAAGGGACTTTTAAAGACTGTCTAGTTCAAGCTTCTTATTTAACAGATGAGGAAATTGAGGCTCAGAGAGGGGGAGTGATTTACCCAAAGTCACACAGCTAGTTGGTGGAAGAACACAGACAGAGCTAGAAGGGACCTTAGGTCGTCTAGTGGAACCCTGCCCACATCCCTCCCAGCCCTTTCCCTACTGATTTTACAAAGGAAGAAACTGAGGCTGGAGGAGATGCAGTGACTTGCCCAAGGCCACCCTGATGACAAGTGTTGCAGGACAATCTTAAGCAACACCTTTGGGCTCTTGGCCCCTTGATGTCTCCAGGGCACAGGGCTATTCCTTCCATCATGACATAATAGGGAGAATGCTGGGCCAGTTGTCACAGAGACAGGGTCCAAGTTGGGTTCTGCCACTGTCTGCTGCATGACCTATATCAGCTCCCCGAACCCTCTGAACCTTAGCCTCCTCTTCTGTTAAATGGGGACGATCATATTCGAATTTCCCCCCTTATGAGGGGTTATAATCGTCCAATGAGGACACAATGTCAAAGTGGTCTGGAAATGGCAAAATCCGTTTGCTCTCTAGCTTTGACACACGTTTGTCCTTCCCCTCTATGAGCCTCAACTTCCCTATCTGTAAAATAGGCAGAATAATACTTAGCCTGCCTGGGTCCCTCACTGAGTTGTTGTGAGGGTCATAACAGAGAACAGACATGAAAGTCTGCAGCCATGAGAACTGTGTGAGCCTTCCTTCCCTGGCCTGCTTGCTCTCTGCCTCAAGCCAGTACGCTGACTCTTTTAGGAAATGGGGACTGGGTATGGGGGAGCAGCCTGCTCTGTTTTCCCTACACATTTTCCCAGCCAACAAGCCAAGCTCGGACATAAGCTGGGAACAAATGTCTTTTAGACGCATTACCTGTAATTGGCGCATCAGGGCGAGACTGCTCCTTCCGCCATGCAGGTACAAATACCGTAATATCTTTATGGCCTTTCTCCAGAAACCAGTCCACGGCTAATTGTATTCCCCTGCAGGAGAAGCCTTCTTTGTTCCCATGGCTGAAAGAATATGGAAAATAATATGGGAGAGCAGCAATTTGCAAATGGATACACAGATCTCTGTCTTCCTTAGTTACAAAGGCTTAGCCCAGCTAGGGCTCTCAGTCTGGGAAGGCAAAACACCAGGGAAGGAGGAGGAGGGTGGGGAGGAGACCAAGAGCTTAGCTTTATTTTGTTTTTAATTAAATCCAATGCCTCTTCAATTAATTGGGGTATTTGTCTGTTGCTTGCACTTTACAAAGCCCTTTCTTTCTCCTCCATTATCTCCATGGATCCTTCTAATGGCCCGGTGAGTTAAATAGGCCAGGGACTGTCCTATTGGTTAAAATATAGACCGCACTTCTAAAATGGTATATTTTTGTAAAAGGGAAAAAGAATATATGCATATTATATGTAATATCTATTATATACGATAGATATTATGTAACATCTATTCTATATACCAGATATAACACATAGTCTATATACTATATTATATAGAATATAGTTTACAGATATTATATATAAGGTATCATTGTACAAAAATAGATGTAGATATATATGTAAGGGAAATGGACTAGACTTGTGATTTCATGGGGATAAGGAATTCCAGGATGAGGAAATGCCTTCACCAGTTCAGGCTGGTACCTTGTGACTTGCTCTGGGTTATACAGCCAGGGTGTGTCAGAGCAGAACCAGGGCTTCCTGGTTCTGAAGCCAGCCCTCCATTTACTAATGAATTTCTAATGAAATTTCTAATGAAATTTCTAATAAAATTTATTCACTAGGTGAATTTTTCGCTAATGAAAAATAACACTTCCGACAGGCCACACTAAGGGTTTGTAAAAAGCCATATGTGGGGGGAAAGTTGAGTGTATATTTTGATCAATTAGGTATTATATTGCTGGGACAAGTAGGACTGGGGGGGGCTCAATCAATCAATAAACATTTATTAGGCACCTACTACATACCAGGCTTGGGGGTCTTCAGATTCTACCTCTGGCACTTTGCATTAACTACTTCAAGGTCTACAATTTCTGGGTGCTCATAACTGACAACAGTTGTCCAGGATCTTAAGGACACCAATGGCACTACCTCCTATTGGCCAACATCTCCACCACAGGGAGAACTGGTTGAGAATCCTTCATAACCACTCATGTTGTTTACCCAATGCCCAAGGAGATGTAAAATGTTAATTACACAGCTATTTGTAAGAATGAGAACCATGACAGAATTTGGTAGTTGGAAAGGAAACTGGAGAATGAAAAAGTTAGGACATGGATTGGAAAAGGATTCTATTTGTTGCCATCATCTTAAAAACTGGGCAGTAGGGGTGGGGGAACCATGTCACATACATGTGTCTTGGCCATGGAAACCTGGGTTCAAGTCCTGGATCTATACTGACTTGTTACATGAAATTGAGCACATGCCACTTCCTCTCTCTGGGCCTTGGTTTCCTCATCTGGAAAATGGGAGGCTTGGGTTTGGACTAAAGGTCCAAGGACCCTAAGATCTCTTTTGTCTCAAAGAATCTGTGACTATCAACGCAAGGGAGATTGTGCCCTGACAGATGCACACATATACACATAAGATGTAAATCACACTTAATTGACTGGGATGGTTGCGTGTGAACAAATTCTCTCATACTGTTATATGTAGAGCAGACTCCCACAAGGTGACAAAGCTCTTTCAACACTAGGACTGCAGATTTGTTCTGGATTCATCAATCATCAGGCCACAAGAGAAATGCATTAAAAGGGCAGGTGGCCTCGAAGGCCAAGGGAGCTGTGAGAAGATAACAGAACTCCATCCATACATTGACAACAATGCTTTGTTAAATACGGTTTTGTTCCTATTTCCAAGCACATGCTGCTTATGGTTCAGAGGCCTCGGTGAGAGGGAGGGCAGTGGCAATGCAAAGAGCCTAGATGGGGCACTAGAGAACTTGCTTCTTGTTCCAGCCATTCCATTGCTGACCTTGGGCCTGCAATCTTCTCCTACAGAAGATGAAGGGAGTTGGGCTGGATGGTCTCAAAGGTCCTTTCTGGATCTCTGACATTTCATGTTCTAAGGTCTCTTCTAGCTCTAACTTTTTGTATTCTAAGGGCCCTTCTAAGGTCTAGAAAGTTATGCTCTAAGGACCTTCCTGGCTCTGCTATGCTCTGTTCTAAGGCTCCTGCCAGGTCTGACATTCTGTGTTCTAAGGCCCTTCACAGGCCTGACATTCTTTGTTCTAGGTCTCTGCCAGCTCTGACATTCTGTGTTCTAAGCCGTGACACTCAGTGTTCTAAGGCCCCTCCCAGCTCTGACATTCTCTGTTCTAGGACCTCTCCCAGCTCTGACATTCTGTGTTCTAAGCCCTCTCCTAGCTGTGACATTCAGTGCTCTAAGGCCCCTCCCAGCACTGATATTCCCTGTTCTAAGGTCCTTCCTGGCTCTGATATTCTCTATTCTAAGGACCCTCCCAGTCCCGAATTCTCCGTTCTAAGCCCCTTCCTAGCTCTGACACTCTGTGTTCTAAGCCCTCTCCCAGCTATGACATTCTGTGTTCTAAGCCCTCTCCCAGTTGTGACATTCTGTATTCTAAGGCCCCTCCCAGCACTGACATTCTGTGTTCTAGGGACCACCCCACTATGACATTCTATGTTCTAAGCCCTCTCCCAGCTCTGACATTCTGTGTTCTAAGGCCCCTCCCAGCACTGACATTCTGTGTTCTAAGGCCCTCCCTGCTCTGACATTCTGTGTTCTCAGCCCCTCCCAGCTGTGACATTCTGTGTTCTCAGCCCCTCCCAGCTGTGACATTCTGTGTTCTAAGCCCTCTCCCAGCTGTGACATTCTGTGTTCTAAGGCCCCTCCCAGTCCTGACATTCTGTGTTCTAAGCCCCTCCCAGCTGTGACATTCTATGTTCTAAGCCCTCTCCCAGCTCTGACATTCTGCGTTCTAAGGCCCCTCCCAGCTGTGACATTCTGTGTTCTAAGGCCCTCCTTGGTCTGACATTCTGTGTTCTAAGCCCTTTCCCAGCTGTGACATTCTATGCTCTAAGGCTCCTCCCAGCATTGACATTCCCTGTTGTAAGGTCCCTCCCTGCTCTGACATTCTGTGTTCTAAGCCCTCTCCCAGCTGTGACATTCTGTGCTCCAAGGCTCCTCCCAGCATTGACATTTCCTGTTGTAAGGTCCCTCCCAGTCCTGACATTCTGTGTTCTAAGCCCCTTTCAGCTGTGACATTCTATGTTCTAAGCCCTCTCCCAGCTCTGACATTCTGTGTTCTGAGGCCCCTCCCAGCACTGACATTGAGTGTTCTAAGCCCCTCCCAGCTGGGACATTCTGTGTTCTAAGCCCTCTCCCAGCTGTGACATTCTGTGTTCTAAGGCCCCTCCCAGCACTGACATGCTGTGTTCTAGGGCCCTCCCTCCTCTGACATTCTGTATTCTAAGCCCTCTTCCAGCTGTGACATTCTGTGCTCTAAGGCGCCTCCCAGCAGTGACATTCTGTGTTCTAAGGCCCCTCTTAGCACTGACATTCTGTGTTCTAAGGCCCTCCCTGCTCTGACATTCTATGTTGTAAGCCCTCTCCCAGCTGTGACATTCTGTGTTCCAAGGCTCCTCCCAGCATTGACATTCCCTGTTGTAAGGTCCCTCCCAGTCCTGACATTCTGTGTTCTAAGGTCTCTCCTTATATCCAGCTTAGACATCCTTTTTTATAGGATCCTTCCCAGCTCTGACGTTCTAGGGTTCTAAGAGTCACCTCTCAGTCTAGCCTTTCTAGTTAAATTTTGTCTAGCCTATGGGCCCTTATCCTCTCACACTCTGCCCTTCTTCAATGGTCAAGTTTTCTCATGAGCCTGACAAAGAACACTGTTACATTTAAACTAAGAAGAACCTAGGCTTTGGTGACCAGTAAGAACAGACCAAGTTTGGGCAGAGTCACAAACCAGTCCCAGGGAAATGAAATTTTCAGAAAGAGAAATAGTGAAAAACCATCTGTTCAAATTATAAAGGGGTCGCAACCTGTTCTGTTACGGACCTTAAAGGCCATCTAGTCCAAAGTCCTCATTTTACAGAAGGGGAAACTGAGGTCTAGGGAGGTGAAGGGACTAGCCCAAGGTCACTGTGGCACCAATGAAATTACAGATCCTAGAAATTTTACACAAGGTTGGGTAGGGCAGGTTGGGAGCAATTTATGGAGGGCCTTGTACATGAAGTATATAGTTTGGAAGAGATATAATAATAATAATAATAATTCTCATTTTAATTATGTTCCATTTCTTATGGAGTACTTTCCTTCCTCTCTCCAATCCTGTAAGATATGAGGGTCAGAGAGTCAGAGAAGTTAGGAAGATTGCCTAAGGTCACCAAGCTAGGAAGAGTTGGAGCCCAGATTTGAACCTAGATCTCCCAACTCCTGTCCAATGGTCTTTACAACATCCCATTGGTAATGGGGAGCTCTCATAGATTCCTGAGCAGGAAGGTGGGGCGTGGGGCATGGGGCATGGGAAGACAGGATGAAAGCGGTGGTAGGAAGATTAGTTTTGTGTACAAGAGGGATCAGAGAGAGAGAGAGCAGAGACTAGAAAGTCATCTACTTCGCTCTATGCTAATGGCTGTTTCAGAATGCCTGCCCAAAAAAAGGGCCATAATTTCTAAGGAGAGAGAATTGGAGAAGAGAGGCAGCAACAGCAGCAGGTAACATGAACCTGTATCAGTGACATGGATAGCACCAGGAAGGAGTTCACATTGCGACTGTGCTTTCGAGTCAACCAAGTACTCTCGTCATGACAGTGCCCACACAGAAGGATCACACTCCCATCCCAGATGACCTATCTAGACCTTACTTTCCTGTAAAGTGAAGGGCAGTTGAGCAAAAGCTAGATGTTCTCTAAGCTTGAAATCATGCAAGCTTAAGTGTTATCCTTTCCATCTTACAGAGGGGAAAACTGAGGCCCAGAGAGGAGAAATACCCTAGCCAAGGTCACACAGGTGACAAGTAGCAGGGCTGGGACTTCCTCTCAATCTGGCATGCTTTGCACAGAACTGTGGACTTTTCCTTATCAGACCGTAAGCTCCTTGTGAGAATAGGGACTGGCTTTTGCCTTTCTTTGTATCTCTAGTACTTAGCACAGTGCTTGGCCCATAGTGAGGGCTTAATAAATGTTAAGTTAGTAAAAAATGACCAACAGAGGACATTTCCTTACCCTGGGTTGGTCTCAGAGAAGAGAAAAAAATGTTAGCGTTACCTCATGGCCACGTTACTTCCGTCTATGACAACAGGTCTCAGGTTCTCAGTGTTGTCCGCAGTCTCGTCTTCCAGGGACAGCTCTGGGCTGGCCACGTCCCTGGCGGCATGGCTGTGTTCTGCCCCTCCACTCTTCTGGCCCTCCTCCTCATTCTTGTTCCCTAGCCTCACAAGTTCAGCCAATATGTCATTGATGAGGGCATCTGGGCCGAGTTTGCTCAGAACAGCTTGAATCTGCTCCCCAGCATAGCCGAGTTTTAAAGCGAAGTCCATTTTGGCCTGGTACTCTTTGTCCACGGGGGGCTGCTTGTCCTCTTCGAGCTTTGGGTCCTGCTGGGTGCTGCTCTGAGAGAAGCTGGGTTGGTCCAGGCAGGGGGAGCGGCAGAGCTGCCGGTGTGGCTTGGGGGGCAGTCCTTGTTCTTGCCCCTGGAGGTGGCTGGGATTCTGCAAGCCCAGCTGTTCTGGCTCACTCTCAGAGCTGGTCCAGTCATCAGAGTCAATGCTACAGTCTTCAGTGGCTCCCTGCTGCGGGTTCCTCCCTTCTTTGGAAGATCTCCTCTTCATTCTTAGCATCTTCACCAGGAACCAGACCGTCATCCCTTTCAGCTGCCAGCCAGGGGTACCATCTTCTCCTTTTCACTCCCCAAAATGCTTTGACTTCATAGTCGAGATCATTCTTTAGGATACGTGGGCAGTATGGATAGGGGCTTGTTGTTCTGGTTCAGTCTGCTGGAATGTACACAGATTCCCCCAAAAGATTCCTAAAAACTAACACACATATGCAATAATTAATTGGAGTTACGTTCCGGGAAAAGGTCTGGAATACAGAGACTTAACTTCTAGGACATTATGGTTCCCTGGACTCTTGATTTCTAAGCTTAAACTGTCTGGAATCGTCTTAAATTAAAACAAAATGAAATAGACAAAACCCCAGGTTACCTTATTCTCCAACAATCCTAGACACAAAAAATTTCAGTGGTGGCAATGAGGCTGAGTTTCTGCCCATAAAGTAAATTCCTAGTTGAAGTTAAGCCTTTGTCGCAACAACTTTGGGGAAGGGGAAACATGACATTTTACCTCTAATCAGGAATAGATTTCTGGAAATCCTGCCTTCTTTTCTACTAGCTCCTATATCTATCCCTTCTAGTTAAGACTGAGCCCAGAGTTCAAAAGGTTATGACCTGCTTTCTCACTGTTCCTCTAGAGACAACCTCATCTGGGAGATAGCCAAGACAATAGAATTGCTTCCATGTGAAATAGCCTGTAAGGGTCATAAATAGAGAGGGGAATTCCAGAGCATCCATCCAGGGTGGGGCTTCTCTGTTGAAATTGTTCAGTGAAAGGAGAAAGCAAAATATGGATCAAAATTGTAAAACAATTGGGAGAGCAGATCAAAACAAGAGTGTGATAATTTGTCGAAGACCACGAGGTCTATAAGAATTCAGGAGCTTCTCCATGCCCCACCATTGCCAATCAAAAACATTTCTCTCTTGCTCCCACAACCTGTTATCATATCTTCCTAGAAAGATTAAGCATGTTAAATGACAAGTGAGACTTTGCCTCGTGTTGGATGAAAAAAAAATGAGAAACTTTCTTTTAAATAATGGTCAGAAAACAAAAACAAAAACAAAAAGGGGCAGCTAGATGGCACAGTGGATAGAGCACCAGCCCTGGAGTCAGGAGGACCTGAGTTCAAATCAGATCTCAGACCAGACACTTAACACTTACTTTGACCCTGGGCAAGTCATTTAACCCCACTGCCTAGCAAAAAACAATAAACAATAAAAATAATAAAACAATAAAAAAATGTCAATACTAACAACTTCAGGTTGCAGAAATTTAAATAAGGCCCAATATTGGTTTTACTGTTGCATGTGAAAAATACTATGAACACCCATGGGATCTTCTCAAACATACATGTCATTGAGGCTAAGCTGGAGATCCCTCAAAATCAAAGAATGTCAGAGCTGGAAGGGACCTCAGAACCTAGACTGGTAGAGCTGGGAAGGGCCTTTGAACCTAGAATGTCAGAGTTGGAGAGAACCTTAGAACTTAGAATGGCAGAATTGGAGGGAACCTCAGAACTTAGAACACAAAATGTCAGAGCTGGGAGAAGCCTTAGAACACAGAATGACAGAGCTGGAAAGGCCCTTGGAAAAGGGAATGTCAGAGGTGGAAGGAACCTCAGGATATAAAATGTCAAAGTTAGGAGAAACCTTAGAAAATAGAATGTCTGATTTGGAAAGGACTTTGGAACTGTATGTTATAATGTTAGCAATGGAAAGACCTTCTGAACAAAAAAATCTGTAGTGCCAAATTTTAAAGGTACCTGAGGGATTACTTAGCTCAACTCCCTTATTTTACAGAGCAAGAAACTGAGTCCCAGAAAGGGTGAGTGGCCCAAACACTGAGCTAGCAGCAAAGCCAAGAGTCAAACTAATCTTTTCTCTATCGAGCTTAGGAGGGGAAAAAGTCCTTCCTTCACAAAGGAACAAAGATCAAAGGGTAGATGTTATAAGGGGTAGGGACCAGATTTTGGCTCAAGATTTATAAAACAACAACAACAACTAAGAACTTTCTTACATCATAATATCTGTGAGATAGTAGGGTCTAGTTCCTGTCTGTCTTTGTATCCCTGGCACTTAATCAGATGCCTGACACACACATTGTAGGCACTTAATAAATGTTTATTGGTACCTTCTGACCCTAAAGGTCATTGAGTTCAACCCTCATTTTACTGACCAGGAAACTGATGCCCAGGCAGATTGAGTGACTTGTCCATGATCTCACAATGAGTGGCAGAGCCAGAATCTGAATCCAGGGTCTCTGATTCTTTTCATTATAAGGCAGTTAGTTGGGTAGAATGTGGGACCTGGAGTGAGGAAGACCTGAGTCCAAAACCTGCCTCTGACATTAGCCCTATGACCTTAGGCAAGTCATTTAACTTTTCTATGCCTCACTTTCTCTATCTGTAAAATGGGCATAATTTTGGTGAGGCTCAAATGAGTTAACATACATAAAGAACTTTGTATACCTTAAAGTGCTATATAAATGAGAGCAGCTGATATTATTGTTATTATTGTTGTTGCTGTTGTTGTTATATTCCATTGACTCCCTAGCTTTGAGCTGAGATTGGATGATTATTTATTGGAGATGTTTTAGACAGAATATCTCCCTATGGGTATGTGGTGGACTTTGGGCCTTGTCAATTCTGATCGTCTATGATGTATCTACTATATCTTAATCTAGGATGAAACAAAATATTTCTTAACATCTAGAAAGCCCCTTAAACATCTTTTCATTCTTATTGATGTCTTTTGTTTTTATATCACCTTCATTTCCAAATAGATTCCTCCCGACCCTTCCATGCCCATTGAGCCAATCCTTGTAACAAACCAGAAGGAAAGGAAAATGAAACAGTTTAGCAAAAACAAATACAAACTTGAAGTCTGACAGTATATGAAATGGTCCATACCTGTAGTTTGGAGAAGAAGGGGAGAGAAGTGTGGACAATTCTGTTTGAGGCAAAGTAATATAACATGATATAGAGGCAGCACACCATAGCACATAGTAAGCTGGCATTGGAGCCAAGAAGACGTGGGTTCAAGTCCTGCTTCTGATACATAATGACTGTGTCACCCTGGCCAAGTCACTTCCCTTCTCAGTTCCAGAGGCAACTACATTGATACCCCACGAAGGAATCCCTTACAACAATGAAGTATGATAGTTCCAGAGCAAACTAGAACTCTCTAAAGCCTGTAAGCAGCAGAGAAGGTGCTGTATTGGTAGGGCTTCCTTATCTGGGAGCTCTTTATTCCGATGAAACCACAGGTCTAGACCTTATCCGTGTGGGGGAGAAATACCCCGGCACGTGTATTTCAATCAACAGGCATTTACGTGCTTGCTATGTGCCGGGTACTGTACTATGCATTGGGGGTACAAAGAAAAATCGAAGACATTCCCTGCTCTCAAAGATCTTACATTCTAATGTGAGATGACATGTATACAAAAGTAGGTCCATGTAAGATACATATAGACTCAAAGATAACCTTAGAAGGGAAAACATTAGCAATCGTGCATATATTTGTAGGTGAGACATATACACACATGTCACACACGTATAAAATTATGCACATACATGCACACATACATCAACGCACACATTGCCACATATAACACACATGTAAACACACAAACCAGAGCTACACACAAGTATGCACTACCCAAGTCACAGATATACACATATAGTACATATGTGCACACATATTACACACACACACAATACAGATATACACATACAGATTTCTGTAATGCAAAGTCAACCACTGACAAGACACATGCTTTGACTGACTCCTCCCTCCAACCTTCACATCAGTAAGGGCCAACTGGAGAGCCCTCACGGGTCCCAACAGGCCCACGGTTCGGTAGCCCCAAATAAACCTTTTTCTACAAACAAAATTTGTCGGAGATTTCTAGTTACCTTTCCTTCATTTCAGTCAAGTCTGGATAAACAGGAAGTGGTACTGCCAACAGCATCTGGGAATCTCCAAGAGCAGCTGTGGGTCTCCTTTAGTAAAGAAGATATTTTGGAAACCCTCCATGAATACAAAGGGTTAATGCCATTGCCTGGGAGAAGCTGCCTACAGAGCAGAGCAGACGTTCACTCCGTCTGGGTACCATGCCCCCTGAAACCAGGATGGTCCCCCACATGACTTCAGAAGTTTCTAATAAAGTATTTGCGAACACTCAGAGACACTGCTTCACTTTCACTTCTCCATCGATCTTGATTATTCAAAATCTGAAGCATGTTTCCCCTTTTTCAGTTTGTTAGACATTTATAGGTCCTGGTCAAAACGTCACTGCACTGAGAGGTGGGGTGGAACAAGAGGGCTGGGCTGGCAGTTGTGGGACCCTGGCTTCAGTCCCAGCTTTACCACACTTGCTGCCTATGTTGCTCAGGGCAAGGTATTACCCCTCTCTGGGCCTCAATTTCCCAATCTGGAAAATGGAAGATTTAGGACTAGACTTTTTAGCTCTGGTCTCTCAAATGCTATGTTCTAAAGTTTCTTCTTCCAGTTCAAATATTCTATGTTCTGAAATCCTGTTCATCTCATCCTTCTGAGATCCCCTCAAGCTCTGACATTCTGTTTTCTACGTTCTAAGATTCCTTCTGGTTTGAACATCTCACATCTCCTGTTCTAATGCCCCTGTCAGCTCTGCCTATCTGTTGTTCTGTGTTCTAAGGTCCCTTCCAGCTTTGCCGTTCTTTGTTCTATGCTCTAAAGTCCTTTGTATGTGGGACATTCCATTTTCCAGGTTTCTGACCGGGAGTCTATAAACTCATTTTCGAAATAATCTTGATAGCTGTATTGCGATTTCCTTTTGCTTTATTTTCAAACACGATTCTGAAAACGGGTCCCTAGTCCTCCCTGCAGGGGTCCGGGCTACAGAGAAGGTTCAGAAGCCTGGCCTGGCTCTGTCACTCTGCAATCTGTGTGGCAGAGCTGTTTGATGGGCCGGCCCTGCATACCGAGGTCTAAAGCAACTGCTTATGAAGCCAATTATTTATTTACATTAGGAATGGGAGGCGGTGCACACCAGACGTGACAGTCACCCAGAAGCGCTGGTGGCCCCTGGTTAGTTACTGAAGACTGCACTCAAGTCTATTAATACCCACAGTAATCAAATCGCTTTCTCTTTTGCTCTGTCTTCCCTTGACTCAATACCAAAAGCTAAGTAGTCCTCCTTCCTGAAGGTCAACAGCCTGTTGAGAGGATGACATATGCAATACTAAAGTCAAACCCCGGGGAAACCCCACCAAAGAGAAAACCCCAAATCCTTTGATCTTCCTAGCAGCTGTAACGGAACATTTTCTACCGCACACCTTTGAAGCAGTAAGGAGTGAGAATAAGTCAACTAAAAAAGACCTTGGATTTATCAGCAGGGGCCTTGAACTAGTATATTTTTAAAAATTACAGTAGCCATTTGTCTTAAAATCAACAAGCACAACAAACAGAACTTAGACTATAACAACTTTGAAAACAGTCTGGTATAGTGGACAGAGCCCTAGACACCCGGGTTCTAGTCTCGGTTCTGCCACTAACTTGTTTTGTGACCTTGGAAGGTTCTGGTCTCTTTAGGCCTCGGTTTCCTTATCTGTAAAAGGAGATGATTTGACTAGATGGGCTCTAAGGGCCCTTTAGCTCCAACATTATGTTTTAAGGTTCTTTCCAGTTCTAGTATTCTATGTTTGATGGTCCAAGATCCTTTCCTTAGAATGCTAGTTCTATTGGCTGGGGGGTGGGGGGAGAGAGGGGAAGGGGAAGGGGACACTTCCCTTCATAGAATATTAATTCTAAGGAGATTAATTATCTGCCTTGGAATTAAAGCTTCCTCAGGATGTGAACTTCTTGGAAGCAGAGAGTGACCCCTCCACATCTTCTCATCCTGTGTTATTCTTACCTATCTGTGATTTTTTTCTAACTCCTTTATAAGGGCTCTAACCAAGGTGCCCAATGCTTTCCTCTGGTTTGTTTATTTAGATAAAGAGAAAGATGTGATCTCTGCTTTTTCTTTTTTTTGGTTAGGAGCTCATACTTATCATTAATACAACTATTAATATGGGTAGTTGACAACTGAAGTAAATGAAACTGGGTAAAGAGAAAGGAATAGGGACAGCTAGGGGGTGCAGTGGACAGAGCACCAGCCCCGGAATCAGGAGGACCGGAGTTCAAATTCAGCCTCAGCCACTTGACACTTACTAGCTATATGACCCTGGACAAGTCACTTAACCCTGACTGACTTATGGAAAAAATAAAAAGAAATGAATAACTGTACAAATATGAAGGTGAATGGGAGGTTTCCCCATCTTGATTTATGACAGATGCTCTCAAGTACCCTCATTTTTTATTATTATTGGTTAATAACACATAAAAGAAATCCTAAAGGACTAGCACATGTGGGTAAGTCACATTCAGTCATATGAAATTCTAGGACTGAACGGAGTTCGTTTTAAGGTACCATTGGCTTTGCCAGTGGCATGGGAAAGTGGTAGGACACTGGCCTCAAAGCCAGATGTTCTGGGGTCAAATCCCAGCTCTGTAACTTAGTACCTGTGTGACCTTAGTCAAGTCATTTCCCCTCTATGAGTTGGTTTCTTCTGTAAAATGGGAATAATAATATTTACAAATCCCTATCCTCTAGTGTTGTTGGGAGGAAAAAAACTTTTCTTTCAAAGTTCTATGTCATCATCATCAGTGTCATCCTCAGACAAGTCATTTGCCCTCTCTGGACCTCAGTTTCCCCACAGTAAAATAGGAGTGCTTAACTAGTTAGCCTCCAAGGCCCCTATCAGCTATAGATCTAGGATTCTATGGGTAACCTTGGGCAGGTCACCTCCCTGGGCCTCAGTTTCCCCATCTTTAAAATGAGAAGGTTTGACTGGATGACCTTTTAGATCTCAGGCTCTAAAATATTCCATCCGCCTATTACAAGCTACAGTAATTAAGTTTTCACCGTGTCAGAAAAGGCTATAAGGAAAAAACAAAGTCAACAAAAGCCAGGCAAGGCAGATCTGACTTCTCCAGAAACCGAGGCATACATACATAGAAATACTACAAAATGAGCCATCAAGGAATTTTTCCATAAGAACAAGCGAGGAAGGCCAGAGAGGCCCCTAACATTTGTTGAACTGTTCCTCTTCCCTGTAGGCCGGCCCAGCCGCCTGCCTGCACCACCAGCCCAGCCCAGCCCAGCCCCAAGCCTTCATTCTTAAAATAGAGTTTATTCACCACACATTCATTCAGAGCAATTTCACAGGCTCAGAAGCTACTACAGAAACGAATTTTTCTTTTTAAAAATATGCTGAGTAATAACCTATATAGGGACAGGACATTTTTGGCAAAGTGCATAGAGCCCAAACGTCAAGAATGGGGCCAGTAGGGCTAATGATCTCAGATTCAAAACTGGCTTCTCTAGCCCCACCCCCCACTCTCCAATAGGTGTTAAACAAAGGGCCAACTCGGGATTTTTCACACCGTGGATTATCTGTAGCCCACTTACAGTCCCGCGTGGATGACGAGCCCAGGGTATGCAAATATTAAAATGTTAGCCAAACAATATAGCCAAACAAAGCCTGCCTCTTCCCCCCTCCCCACCCCACCCCCCATGCAAACAAACAAACAAACAAACAAAAAAAGATTTGGGGATGATTTCTGTTGGTGTGAATTTTCCACACCACTGCACAATTTTCTTAGCTTGGCCCTAGATAAACCAATACATATTTATTAAGAATCTACTATGTCCAAAGTACAAAAATGAAATATTCCTTACCCTCGTAGAGCTTACATTCTACACTGCTCAGTGGATGCAAAGTGTGTGTGTGTGTGTATGTGTGTATATATACAGTGTGTATGTGTGTATATATGTATGTATATGTGTATCTATATATGTGTGTACATATGTATCTGTATATACATATTTTATATATATACACACACACACACACACATACATACACACACAGAGTAATTGACTTCAAGAGGGTGAGAATGTTCAGGAGAGGCCTCATGTTGGAGGTGGGTCATGAACTGATCCTTGAAGGAAGCTCAGGGTCTTTCCAGGTAGAGAGGTAAGGAGGGAAGGCAGGCCAGGGGAGAAGGTTGGCAGCCCAGGCAAAGGAGCAGAGGTGAAAGATGAAATGTTGTGCACAGGACTAGGCAGCAGGCCAGTGAACGAGAACTGAGAGTGTGTGAAGGGGAACAGTGTGACACTAGCCTGGTTTTGTCATTAGGAAAGTACACAGCTCTGTACTGAGTTGCTACTCTCAGGAGTGGTACAGAAACCAGGTTGCAAAGGACCAAAAGACCTGAGAGATTACTTGCTGGAGGAATGAATGAATGAATGAAATAATGAACAAATGAAATGAAGTGAACGGATGAATAAATGAATGCTACTGTGGTGCACTGCACCCGGAGAAGCAGGTGATGTGGGCGATAGTTCCAGTTCTCCCACTAACTTGCTCCCAACTCCACCATTCTCTCTTCTAAAGTCCCTTCTAGTTTTGACATTGCATTCAAAGGTTCCTTTCCAGCTCTGATCTTCTATGTTCAATATATATTCTAATATATCTTTCAGCTGTGATATTGTGTTCTAAGGTCCCTTCCAGGTATGACAGTCTGTGTTCTGTGTTCTAAGGTCCTTTCCAGGTGTGACATTCTATGTTCTGTGTTCCAAGTTCCCTTCTGCTTGTGACATTCTATGTTCTGTGCTCTAAGGTCCCTTCCAGGTGTGACATTCTATGTTTCATGTTCTAAAATCTCTTCCGGCTGTGACATTCTATATTCTTCCAGCTCTGACATTCTATGGCTCTAATACCCACTGCTTTGGTCCTCCACATCAGTTAATGATATTTGATGCAAATATAACTGAATTTGTAAAAACCAAGCAAAGCAGGTGTGGTAGAAGCCCACTAGGAACATTTTTAAGTTTATCAAATGAAGAAAACAGAGATTGTTTCTCAGCTCAGGCTGCACCCAGTCATTACTTAATCTGATTAGGTTTGGGCTACTGAGGGATGAGCCTGCCTTATTGCCTTGTACCTTTCTCTTCAGGTACAGCTAGGAAAGAAGGGCAGTGACCTGCAGACAAGGACCAAAGTGTTGGCACGTTGAGGGGACTGGGAGGCAAAGATTTCGTCCAACCTTTACTATCAGGTAACCT